ATGCAGTATACCACATTGGCAGATGTGCAGGTGAACATCTGCTTGATGTGGAAAGTCTTCTTGGGGCCTGGGATGGGGGTGAGGGAGGAGGTATGGGGGCAGGTGTAGCACTTCCTGCGGTTGCAGGGAAAAGTGCCGGGTGTGGTGGAGCTGGAGGGGAGTGTGGAGCGGGCAAGGGAGTCACGGAGAGAGTTGTCCCTCCGGAAAGCAGATAAGGGTGGGGAGGGAAAGATATCCTTGGTGGTGGGGTCGGATTGCAGATGGCGGAAGTGTCGGAGGATGATGCGTTGGATCCGGAGGTTGGTGGGGTGGTACATGAGGACGAGGCTTCCGCCATCTGCCACTTGCAACAAACCTGTTCTAATGATGCTTCTTTCCGAGTGGCCTTGCCAAAATCTGTAGAAGGCTCCAGGATGTGACTCTTTTTGACTAGAGACAGTCTCCCTTCCACATCTGGTTGTGGTGACTCTCACAGTTGAGCAGTCCCATCTCTGACTGCACTGAACTGCAGTCTTTGATATATCCATTGGATTACAGGCGAAAAAAAAACAATCTCAAAAATGACTTTGCTCTTTTTCCCATAACAACATAGAGCATTTTAACCATGCTTCAAAAATACCTGCTGATTCATTATTCTTGACTGCAGATCCCTTTCATCTTACCAATGAATGGACAATTTACAGCATAACTGCTAACGATGAGATGCCTACACCAGCTTTCTGTGACTTTGGGAGACTTGGAATCTACTTATTTGTTAAACCAGGCTTTATGTTGGTTAGACTGCAGGACAGATCATATGATCCCCATTTATCATAAGTGTAAAGCTGCAGTTCCAAAATATTATAAACTTTTAAATCTCATAACTGGGGCCGCTGTGGTGAAATCATTGTGTCCTCCCTCTAAGCCAGAACGTCTAGGTTCAAGTACCACCTGCTCCAGAGGTGTGTCATATGTCTGAACAGGGCAGCAAGTCTGGCCATATTTGTGGAGAGAAATCAAGGTTAATGTTTTGGGTCCAGTGACCCTTCCTTGGAACTGATGGGAGCTAGGAAAAGAATAGAATGGATTTTAATGCACAAGATAGGGTCAGGAGAGGCAGTAAGGAGTAGACAATATGTGGAAATCAAGTCCAAAGAGAGAAAAGAACAATTGGACAAAGAAGTGGATAACAATCAGCCTAGGAGAATGGATAGCTACTAATGAGTACTGTTAGTAGCTAACAATGGGATGTGTGTAGTGGCAGACTATATGACCACAAGGTCTGGTATGTGGTGTGTGGGATAAAGACATGGGAGAAAGTGCTTCAAGCTTAAAGTTATTGAACTTGATATTGAGTCCAGAAGGCTGTAGAGTTCCCAAGTGGGAAATGGGGAGCTCCTGAGTCTGAAAATGTCTATTTGTTCACCAAACATTTTCACAGACTGAAAATGTCCAACTTGCTTAACAAACTGACGGAGGTGAGCTGCATAACTCTGAGCCAAACCAATGTGCATATGGAGGACACAATCAAATAGAAATTGCCTGACATGAGCAGCCATGTCTCCACAAGGAGAAAAGTACTTGTTTCAATAATGATGGAGATTCATGAGATTGCTGGCATCTTGTAGTATCTGGCACCTCTGTCAGTATAGGGCACGGAGCAAGGCTTGTTTGAGGTAGTTCACTGCCACATATTCTCCTACGTCTATTTTTTAAATCAAGTTGTTCAGCCATGTCCGTAGTACATCTCCGTGGCAGGTACACTGAACAGTCTAACCTAGAGGTAACCACTGCCCCACGCAAGCACCCACTCAACCCCCACTTTGTCTAAACTTTGTCAAAAGCCTATATGAGTATCAGTGGTATATTACTGGTGAGCCTAAATAGAAGAGGCATTTGGCTTATTTAACACGATGATTTATTGCATGGCAACAACACTGTTACTCAGACAGGTCTTTTACACAGTACAGACAAAGCAGGGAGAGAGGTGGTAAGATCTTGCATGGCATGTTCTTATGTTTAAATCAGAATATCTGGGTTCAAGTTCCACCTGCCACAGGGCTATGTGCAATGTGTCTAAACAGGTTGATTTAAAAGTAGACAAAGGAGAATTGGTGGCAATAAACTACCTCAAACAATCCTTGTGTTGTGCCACCTACTGACAGAAGTGGTAAATAGCATGAGATGCCAGCAATGGCAATCAGAACAGAAACCACTGCACTGGCCTTGAGGTGTATATTCACAGTTGCTCTGTTATGTATGTCTGATGGGATAAAGTGTAAAGCAATGCTAATAATAAGACAATCCCTTCCCAAAACAGTAATGCCCAAAAGGAGTTGTTGTCCACATTCAAAATAAAAGATAGTTGGCTGAAGGTGCCTTGAAAATATGGCAGAGGATTTTTTTTTGGAATTTCAGAGTGGAAGGATTACTTTAAAGAAAAACTATTTTGATTGCACCTTCTTGATGGTGGTGCTGAAATTAGATCATGAAACCGTGATTTTCAGTGGTCTGATCAGCCTTGTTCAGCCATTGGACATATCTCTAAACAAGCGCTTCAAGGATCGAATGATGGAGTGGAATGACTGGATGATTGGAGGGGAGGAGAGAAGACTATCATCAGGTGAGGCAGCATATAGGCTCCTACTTTAGTAATCCCACGAGTGTGAATTGTAGAGCCCTGGGATGAAGTCAGTTTGGAAATTGTCATCAAATAATTCAAATGTGGATTTTCCAATGCACTTGACAGTACAGAACATGATTATTTGTGGAATGACGTGGCCAATGGTATGATTGAAAATGATGATGTTGTTGATCAATATTACGCAAATCTAGAATAAAATTGAGACATGACATGAGGAGAGTGAATTTTTAATTCATTTTCACTGCGTGTTTCGCAAAGTAGCATTCATTTCAGTACTGCGAGGAGAACTGAAATTGTATACATTTTTATATATATCATTTTGATTAATTTAGCATACACTAATGTCTGTTTCCATTGAGGTGGTGTGGTTATTAATTAATTATAAAATTTCAGTAATACAAGTACTTTTTTTTTGTTTCTTTTTGTACCACTTTTAGGAGTGGGCTTGGTTGAAACAGTCTCCAACCTGGCTTCTCTGTGATAGCAAGATGAGTGGAGAGGATGGATTTTCATTTGTGTAAACATTGCTCCTTTAATATTTGGCTAAAAGTTTAGTCTTAGAAACTTTGCTTTTACACAAGTATATATAGTAATGAGTGTCCACTGCTAGGAAATTGAATGGTTAATTATCTCAACCATTACAGGGAAGTATAAAGATTAAAAAGTTCTGAAATTGTTGTTGAAATATGGAATACCTTGCTACCAGTAATTTTTTTGAAATTCATAATAATAAATGAGAGTTAAAATTTAATACTAGCAATGAAAGCTTTTTGAGGCATTATGATTTCTATTTCCAAAATTCTTTGGAGAAAATGAGAATAGAAAATTCATTGGAACATCAACATTTGGAATTGAATGTAATGTAAATGTTTAGACAGCAGGGACCATTCTCTTCAACAACCTAAACATTTAAAATTCTAAGTTTGGGAAATCACCTTTTTTGAATAGGAGGCCAAGGAACTATTTCTACCTGAAAACCTTTTAAGTCAGGTCCTATAACTGGCATTTCTGAGCAATCTTCTGCACAATGCAGCCAAAAGTATTGGTAACTCATCTATATTGCAAGATATGAGCTTTCTTTCCTAATGAATCATACTGCCCCTCAGACCTTCTATAATGCCTGGCTTTCTGCTTTTCAGGTTCGTTTAACAAATTGCTTTTCAGCTTGTTTTGTACAATATCATAAATTTAATTATTGCTGGTTTATTTCGCACAATATTAATCTCTAAAGAAGACAGTTAACACATTTTGATGCACATTTATCTGAAATAAATAATACTTTAAAACAATAATATCATAACACATTGAGCTAATTCTAGCAAATAGCTTTCATGTAATATTTGGGTGAATGCGCTATCTGCAGCATTGATTCCTATGTCTCAGTAATGCCTTAACATTCATTTTCTATGATAGCCAGTACTTGGAATTTGCTGTTGGATAATTATTAGATTCATGAATTGTCTTCTAATAATAAAGCTTATGAGTAGGCTCGATGTTTGAATAAAACTTAATACTATTTTTGATGCTTTGTAGATTATAACAGAAGAACTAAATATTGCAAGCTGCAAATGCCACTGAAGTCTTTAGCAGTTCTTTACATATCTTACCTTTTTCTCTCCTGGCCATGTAATATTTTAAATAATTTAGTTTCACTATGGAACAAGGAGAGCTTTGGCAATGATATGAAAAAAAGGAAAATGGTGGGTGGTTTCAAATGGCCTGAGTGTTTTGCATCTCTGCTGTAAAATTCCATACAGTTATAATCCCATCATTATGAAGATGTGTTATCCATCATTTATATTATGTCACACGTGACATTGTAAATGAAATTTTGAGCAGTTCAAAGTAGTATGAGGAAATGACAACAGCTCTGAAAAAAAGTCATAGCAGACCCAAAACACTATCTGCTTTTCTTTCCATAGATGCTTTCAGCATTTTTCATTTTTAGTTTTCCCAGCATCTGCAATATTTTGCTTTTATATGAGATAACAATGTTGATTGTAATGTTTCATTTTCTTTTGAGGATGGGGAGTGATCACTTAAACTAAACTAGCTTAAATGTTTTTCTTGTTTAAGCAAGTATTTTTAAAACCTTAAATCTTTTGGCTTTCAGATGTGTGGTTCAATCATACTTGGAGTGGCAATATGGCTTCGTATGAGCAAAGAGGTGGAGAAGGTAACAAAGACTGTTGTTCTTCAGAAGCCCTTCCAGTCAATAAAGAGCTTCTTTGTTTGGAGTGTAGTCATTGTTGCAATGTAGGAAAGAGAGCAACAAATTTGTACGTAGTAAAATCATATGAACAGTAATCAGATAATCTGTTTCAGTAATGTTGATTGGAGGGATAACTATTGGGTAGGATTCCATACTGTTTCTTGAAATAGTGCCCCATAATCTTTTATATTTTAATTATATTTTTTTAAAGCAGTACATTTCTGCCCTTCAGTACTGTGCTGAAGTGTCAGTCCAGATTATTCTCCTTGGTACAAAGCTGATTTGAGAGGCGATTTTATTGAGGTGTGCAAGATTGATTGACAGGTTAGATACAACTGCCAAAAAACTGTTCCCATTAACTGATGATCCAATGGCTGGGGGAGACAAATTTTTACTTTTGAACAAAAGATGTGGATGTGCGGTGATTGGGAATGAGCGAGGGGGTGTTGTTGGGATAATGGTGTGCCTTTTGAAGGATGTGAGCAGTGAGTGATAAGAATTGGAACTTGCTGCCTTGGAGGTTAGAAACGAAGAGGAAAACTGAAAGAACTGCAGATGCTGTAAATCAGGAACAAAAACAAAGTTGCTGGAAAAGCCCAGCAGGTCTAGCAGCATCTGTGAAGGAAAAAAGAGTTAACGTTTTGTGTCCGGTGACCCTTCCTCAGAACTGCCAGACCTGCTGAGCTTTGCCAGCAACTTCTATTTTTGTTAGAAATGAAGAGGATTGATTTCAAAAGGAAACTGTGGACACTTGAGGGGAAGAAAATCTTGCAGGGCTAAGTGGATAGAGCATTAACGAACCCAAAACGATTTCAGCGGTTGAGAATAAAGTTCCAGAGATTAGCAAGTGTCGCCTCAATCCGCAGAAAAACCAATTGATGAGGGTTTGGGGTTTCTAATAAACTTCAAATTTCAAACTCACACCTTCCAATATTGTAAATATTAGAAACAATTTATAATAAATTTAAAAATGCAAACCTTAGCAAAGTACACTTTTAAACTAAGATGTAATTAAACTGTTATTTTAAGGTTTAATGTAATATCTCCTTTTCACTGCAGATGGAAGAATTTTACCCTGCTGTAAATCTTCTGATTACTGTTGGGTCTGTCATTATGGTGCTTGGATTTCTTGGTTGCTGTGGAGCTATTAAAGAGAGCAAATGCATGTTAATTTTGGTATGTATTTGTCTTTGCCAATAATATTTATAAGATGTTCAGGTAAATTTCATGGTGATTATGGTATAAATGGGAAAAAATCTGAGCATTGATGGGAATGAAATTTGGGAGAGCTTGTGTAATGGGTGGCTGATTCGATATCCCCTGTCTATATACCATCACCCAAAGCTGCCCCATTGTTGATTTTCTCCACAGATGGAAAATATGATTTCTCTTTTTTTTAATATAGTTTTAATTTGCAGTACAACCTGTGTTTTCTTTTGGCACTGTGCTTTGTGCCAACGACTTTCCACAGTGGTTTCATGATTTTGAATGACCTTATTGACTTTTGCTTGAAGAAATCCAGGCACTTCACCGAAATGGAAGGGAGTCTCATAACATCCAGTGACCAAAAGTTCGTGGCAAAACAATCCTTCTCAACTTTGAAAATATAGATTCAGCGGATAGAATTGGGGACCAACAGGTCTTTATCAACACTGTCAGCTATATGTTAGTCAAATACACATATAAACATGTGAATTCACAGCAGAAGATCACCACTTGGTCCCTCAAATCTGCTTTGCCTTTCAGTAAGATCATTGCTGATTTGATGACTCCATGTTGCTGCCTACTTCCAATTTAACTTTTCATTGACTTGCTTTATAATGCTTTAAAAATTCAAAAACTCTATTTCCACTGCCCTTACAGCAAGAAAGTGCCAAAGATTCACCACTCTCTGAGAAAATTACTTCTGATCTCTGTCTTAAACGGGCAACCCTTTATATTTAAACAGTGACCTTTGTTCCAGGTTGTCCCATAAGAGGACCATCTTCTTAATATGCACTCAGTCAAGACCCTTCAGGAGCTTGTATGTTTTACACCAGTTACCTCTCGCTCTTCAAAACTCCATGCCTGTTCAATCTTTCCTTTAAGGCAATCCACTCATTCTGGTATTAATCTGGTAAATCTTCTCTGAACTGCTATCAAAAATACTCTTGATGTAATTTAATTTACTCCTGTATTCAAACCCTTCATAATAAATCGTAACTTTCATAATTACTTGCTGCACCAACATACAAACCTTTTGTGACTCGTGCATCTGAACATCCAGATGCCTGTGCATTTACCACTGAGGTTAATATGCTTTTTTCACCCTTGCTGCCAAAATAAAAGTTTACAGTTTTCCATGTTATAGTTTATTTACTGGATCGATGTAATCCCCTTCAATGAGTGTGCAAAGGATATAAGTAGGCTATGTCCTCTTCGCAACTTATTTTCCTACATGTCTTTGTGTTATCAACAAATTCAGTGACCATATCTTCAATCCCTTCATCCAAGTCATTTATGTAAGTTGTAAAAATCTGAGACCCTGGCACTGTTCTCTTTGCCACACCACCTGTTTCATTTGCCAACGGGAAAATAGAAGCATTTATGTTTACCCTCTTGTCCCCTGTTAGCTAACCAATCATCTATTCATATCAATATATTATTCTCCACAGTATGACCTAGTATTTCCATAATTGATGTGGCATCTTACCAGATGCCTTTGGAAAATCTCAGCAAACTATATCCACCAGAATCCCTTTATTCATGGAACATGTTACTTCAAAAAACTCTAGCAAAGTGGTCAAATATGGTTTCTTTTACACAAAACCATGTTGACTTTGCCAGATTACTTAGAATTTTTCTAAGGGCCCTGATATAATCAGGGCCCTGATATAATGTCATTAACAGATTCCAAAATTTTCCCTATGGCAGTTGTTAAGCTAATTGATCTTTGGAGTCCTACTTCCTGTTTTCCTTTTTAGATAGTTCCATTAGCTATTTCAATTCTAATAGTAGCCTCCCCAAATTAAAGGAATCTTAGAAAACATAACCATGTCATAGCCACTTCTTTTAGAAAAAAAAGGCATCAGAACCCAGAAACTTATCAGCCAACAGTTTCAACAATTTACTGAGTGCCACTTATCTTGGTTGTAATTTTCTTGAGTTTCTCCTTCCCTTCCATTTCCTGCTTGAAAGCTATTTCAGGGATGTTACTTGTATCCTGTACATTGAAGGCTAATGCAAAAAAAGACTTTTAATTCCTCAGCCATCTGCTTATTTTCCATTATTATCTCTCAGACTCAATGTCCTCATTATATACAAAGCTCTCTTCTGTAAGAATAAAGAATGGCATGAAGGCAGCTGTACAATGCTGTTGTCAGCTTGCATTTTCCAAAGGCCGGGCTAGTAAAAAATCATTACTTGCAATATGTTAGAACTCTAAATTATTTTGTGTAGCCATGTAGCTAAGTCACAAAAGCTATTGTTTTAAGTTTGTTATACTTGTGATGTTGTTTTAAGTTTCACTGCAAAACACTGGATGTGGTAAATGTCAGCACTGGCACTATTTTGTGGTAAAAATGGAGTTTTATTTTCTATTCATATTTTAAGCCTTTTGCTTGCTCTTCAGTCACAACTTGGAGTGTCGTAACCAAACATATGGCTGGGATTTTCCCCTCCCTGGAAGTGGTAAGAAGGAAGATAATCAGGCAGATTGGCACCAAGAGATAGCCACCTCCTTTCATAGAATCCTACGGTGTGGAAACAGGCCACTCAGCCCAACAAGTCCACACCAACTTCTCACCACCTCAGCAATAAATTCAGCACCAAAGCGATTAAGCGGTTGATTAATGATCCACTTGAGGACCTTGACCTGCCACCGGCTCAATTACCTGCTTCTTGGGGATGCATGTATTTGCATCAACCTGGACGTGATTGGGGATGTGGATTGGGGGTTGGATCGTGGGTCAGGGGTTGTAGCCATTCAAAGTGATCTCCTTTCCTGCCTTCAGCAGGTCTGGCAGCATCTGTATAGAGAGAAACAGAGTTAATGTCTCAACTCCAGTGACCTAATTCAGCCAGTCCGCACTTGAATGCCCAATTGGGATTTGATTCAGGAGACTTTCTCACTGGTGGCAGAGCTACTTGCCATTTAAAGATGCCCCTTTTCTTCATTTAGGCTGAAACTTTCTTCTTGTTGCTCCCAGTTTCTTACACTGTTGTAAAAGTTTAAAAAAAAAATGATGGACAAATCCTAGTAAGGTGGAGCAAATGTGGCATAATATGCAGTTTAAAAACATAAACCCATATTTCACAAGATAATTAAATAAATCATAGTCTCTTTGACACTTTCATCCAATGGGCAGAAAAGATGGTCAGAAGTTGGACAAAATTCAAAAAAGCACTATACAGAGATATTCTTAGTGGAGAAAATGGCAACAAAGATTTATGCGCAGTGGATAAATGAAGAGGCAACTTAACGTAATGGCTAAGTGTAACTGAGTCTTTGGATGTAATTGTCCAGTCATATTCTTCATTTTGTTATCTTTCTCTTGCTTCACAGTTCTTCATTGGACTGCTCCTTATTCTGGCTTTTCAAATAACTGCAGGCATTCTAGGTGTAGTGTATAAATCTAAGGTAAGCCTTTCCATATGTTTGCATTTCATTCAAAAACATAGTAATCAAAATAATTTCTAGTTTCATCCAGAATATGTTAGATCTGAAACAAATATTCTATTTATTTATTCAAGATTGCGTCAGTATTAAATGAAACATATTATGAACTTATCCCATTAAATAAGCAAGAAGAAGAATTTAAGAAAGAGATAGAAGATTTCCAGGAGGAGGTAAGTCTGATACTAAAATTATGTCAATACTCTAAATGCTTTTTCATTCGAGACAGTAATAGAGACATCCTTATGTCGATGGCCCAAATCAAGTCCTTCCTGTTGAGCCGCAATCTTATTATCAAGGTTAGATGAGTGCATTGTCTTTCTCTAGTCCTAATGGTTCAAGAGTCACAAAATAATTTTAATTGTTTTACATATGCATTCTCTATTTTAGATTTATGAAGACCCACCAGTCAAGTTTCTTTTATAAATACAATATAAATAATTCTGTTTAAACTAACCTATTCAGTGTTAGTTCAAAATTGGTTAATACATTTACTTGAATATAAATGTTTAACCCTCTCCATGATTCAATGCACTATCCCTCACACGCTCCAAGGACAAAATCACTTTTGGAAGGCAGATGAAAGGATAAGGTGTGGAGTATTCAGGTGGCTGTTGTCTGACATTCTGATGCACAAAGGCAAATATTCCCAAATATGAACAGATCTCTTTGAGGTCTTTGCCAAGGCAGCCTGCTCAGGAAACAGCATCAAGGATACTTCCGGAAACTCTGCAGGAGGAGCGTCAGGGTTTAGACTGGACCAGGGCTCCAAGTGCCATCCTGGACCCACAACAGAGGAGAGCTGGGCTAATAAGCTCTCTTTTCCTTCTTCTGGATAGACGACAAATGAGTAATCCAAGCCATCTTCAAAGTAGAAGCTCCGACTCAACAATGATAAACCCAGGAAGGGTGAAGATTGGTAAACAAGCAGTTATCATAGGCAGGTATATGACTTTTAAGCAAAAATGGGTTCTTTTTTAAATAAGCGCTCCTGTCTGTCCTTCCATTGACCTATTACTTTTTTTTTTAAAAAAATCCACTATCCACTACCCTTCAAACTCAAATACACAAAAATGATTTAAAAATGAAGATGCCCATATAAGGCAGAGTCACGTTATCCTACTTGATGGGCATTAACTTTTAGTTGGCCAAAGTGAAATTTTGTATATGTGTGGTGGTTCTTCTGTTTGCACTCATGGAAATGGAAGTGGTAGAGTATGTACTGTAACTCTGCCTATATCAAGTACACAATTTGGTCTGATATAATAGATGTGAAGTAAATCTTCTCTATACTGGCACACCAATAGATGCCTTTCCTGTAATCCAGCCAAGTTACCCACTGTTTCATTAGTATGATATCAGTTTTTAAATTTTCAACTTCAAATTAGGCAAGTGATGGTTTCTGAACATGAACTGCCAGTTAAGTGTTTATTCATGCCGACTTGGAACTGGATTGAAACTACTGAAATGGCTTTTGCATCGGACTCTTACAGCTAATGGACAGAGGAGACTTTCACCACCTCGGAGGGGAAACAAAGCATTTCATTGAAACAGTAGCTCTTGGAAATGAGCACATTGCCGATACGCATTGTTTACCATATTTGTTGTTCTTTCTGAGCCAGCAAATTGGATTTGAAACAAGAGCATCATGACTGAATGTTGTGGTCTAAGCCAGTTTCAGGTGTCTCCAGGAGGGAGGAAAAGAGCCAAACCACATCAAGTTTGTAACTTAGAAAAGCTTTTGACCTTGACTTTTAAGCTTTACCATTTGGAAATTTAAAAAAAAAGTCACAAAGGGCCAATTTGAGAGGTAATGGTCTCCTAGTATTATCGCTAGACTATTAGTACAGTGACACAGGTAATATTCTGGGAACTGGGGTTCAATTCCTGCCTTGGCAAATGGATTCAATAAATATCCGGAATTAAGAGCCTAATAATGGCCAGAAGACTGTTGTCAATCATTAGAAAAAAACAACTGCTGCACTAATATCCTTTAGAGAAGTAAACTATTGTCCTTACTTGGTCTGATTTACATGTGACTTCAGAGCCACAACAATGTAGTTGACTCTTAACTGCTCTCTGGGCAATAAATGCTGGCCTAGCAGTGAGGTCCACGTCTGTTATACAATTATATACAATAGTTGGTGTCAAGGCTGTAACAGTAACTTGCTATATAAATATGCTTTAATATTGTAAAACATTCCAAACGTCTTCAGATCACCAGCACAAATTCCAGCTCTTCAGTCAGTGGACTACAATCTAAAGTTATTACTATTTTTGCATTGATGTAAAGTATAACTGCCTTACTAAGTATGAGTTTATTAATAACTGAAGTACCTGTCTATGATTAAAAATTGGCAAAATTCCACATTGCATTGGAAATAAATAATGATTTTGCATGCACAAGAAGAACTTTATAGCTAAATGATATTAATCTAGGCTAGAGCCCCCTAAAATGGAAACGAGTGTATTAAAGTTTTTTGCCATTCAGTTATTTTATATAAATCATTTGTCTTTGTATTTCCCACCTGTGGGTTGCCAAATCTAAACCAAATTACGTGGTAGTGGACAGCAGTGGATGTATTTGCAGGGTCAGCATAGTCGTACCACTCTTTTCCAGGGAAGATTTCCTATCTTTGAGATGCATCACAAATAGTTATCAGGTTTCGACTGACACTTTTTTTTACTTCTATATATTGATTTAAAAATAAATGCCAGAAGAACCAACCTTGTGAAAATAGGCTTGTCTGTAGAATGACCAGTAGTTAAGTCTCACAGTAGGAGTGAATTATGCTTTTCCTTGTCTTCCAAAAAGACCCATGTAGCACAATTGTACTGGACTCTCTAATCCATAACATCTCATCAGTATGTAATAACCATCTGCATTAACTCTTGATGGCCATACTTATTCAGGCAAATTTTTAAAAGTGATTTTATGAGGAAGGCCTGATTGGACTTGAGGTATGTGGCCTGCTAGACTATTTCAGTGGGCAATTAAGGGGAATCACATGACTTTGGGTCTAGAGTCACATATAAGCCAGACCAGGTAAGAACAGTCGACTTCCTTCCAGATACGTGTGACTGCAGACACACAGCAATGTGGTTGGCTCTTAACTGCCCTCTGGGACGCTGTCATCCTGTGAATAATTTAAGAAAAGGGCTTCTACGTCTATCAGTGATAGTTCCACGGTCTTCATGACTGAGACTAGTTTTCAATTGCAGATTTTGTTTTATTCCAACAGCTAGTAGGATTTAACCTATGCACCTTGAACTTTAGCCTGAGCCTCAGGATACTAGTCCAACAACATCATAACTACATCACTGTGTCCCATGAGGCCAAATCAGTTTTTGGAATGAGGAAATCCTAGTTGAGCAAATTTTGAGGGCAACCCATGGATCATTGACAGTACCTGAGTGAGTAAACTTGTCAGTGATAATTTGTTTTCTTAGTTCTGCATTTTTTTAAAGTTAGATTTTGCTTTCTGATTAGAAACCCGATTGTCTCCTGGTGTGACAGCATCAAACAGTGGACACCTAACCATCAAGAAAGGCTTGTTGACTTGTTTTCTGTTCACAGCTATGTATCATTCTCTGCTTCAAAAATTCATCCAACCATCTCTTAAAAATTGTAATAATCTCTACTCTAACCACTTCCAATGACAAAGCATTCTACTTTTCATGATTTGAACCAGAGGCTTCAACACACTTATTAATTTTTCATGTGAACTATTTGCAGAGCACATGCTTAAATGTATATTGGACCTAAATCACGCCTGTAAAGACAAAAAAAAGGTTATGTAAAATGAAAAAAATTGTGGAGTTTTTTTTCAAAACCAAGGTATTTGATTTATAATTGTAGAATGATGTATTGCAACTTTTCTGTCTATTTTTACTTTCTTTCCTGGTGAAAGAAACAGTGTTGTGGTCTGCTGCATGGATATCGGGACTGGGCAGAAGGTTCTATTCCCCCGTCCTGCCACTGTAAAGATAAACAGGCGTGTGTCACAACAGAAAATGGAAAATCTGTCTGGGCGCAGGTACTTTATATTGCTAAATTGACAAATATAAAAGAAACTTGCTTCAAGTTTTTAGTTTTGAGCTTGAACTGTCACAAAGTTTCTGTTGTGCATTATATTTCAAACGTATTCATATTTTCGAATAACTTAAGTGCATTCATCAGACTGTCAGTAACTGTCTTTGCAAGCCATGTCTTTGGATGGGTGACTTATGTAAAAATATATGGAATCTCAATCGGTTGTAAATAAATAGACCTTGTGCTTCGATTTTGTTTGTTAAACAGCAAGTGATAGACAGAGCTAAGCGACCCCACAAATCTAAGCACTGTAGGTCCTGCTACATCCAGTCATGAATGGTGGTGGACAATTAAACAACTCACTGGAGGAGGAGGCTCCACAAATGTCCCCATCCTCAAGGATGGAAGAGCCCAACACATAAGGCAAACAACAGGCTGAAAACATTTGCAGCAGTCTTCAGCCAGAAGTGCATGAATGCATGATTCATCACATCCTCCTCTGGTCGCACCCAGCATCACAGAGGTCAGTCTTCAGCTAATTCGATTCACTCCACATGATATCAAGAAACAGTTGGAGGCACTGTAAAAAGCAAAGGCCATGGGCCCTGACAACATTCCGGCAATAGACTTGTGCTCCAGAACTTGCTGCCTGCCTAGCCAAGCTTTTCCAGTACAGTTACGACACTGGAAAATGTGGAAAATTGCCAAGGTATGGCTTGTACACAAAAAGCAGGAGAAATCCAACCTGACCAATTACCACCCTGTCAGTCCACTCTCTGTTGTCAGTAAAGTGACAGAAGGTGTCATCAACAGGCTATAAAGCAGCACCTACTCAAATCATCTGCTCAGTGATGCTCAGCTTGGTTTCCACCAGGGCCATTCAGCTCCTGACCTCATTACAACCTTGGTTCAAACATGGAGAAAAGAGCTGAATTCCAGAGATGAGGTGAGAGTGACAGCCCTTGACATCAAGAATCCCTAACAAGACCTGGAATCAGTGGGTATCCAGAGCAAACTCCATGGTGGTTGGAGTCCTACTTGGCACATAGCAAGATGGTTGTTGTTATTGGAAGTCCGTCATCTCAGCTCCAGGGCATCTCTGCAGGGGTTCGTCAGGTAGACTTCTAGGCCCAATCATCTTCAACTGTTTCATCAATGATCATTCCTCCATCATAAGGTCACAAGAGGTTCTGATCTCACACCATTCAACACCATTCATGACTCCTCAGATACTGAAGCAGTTCATGTTCAATTGCAATAATATTTGGACAATATCCAAGTTTGGGCTCGCAAGTGGCAACATTTGCACTACACAAGTGCCTGGCAATGCCAATCTAACCACTGTCCCTTAAAATTCAATGATGTTACCATCACTGAATCCCCCACTATCAACATCCTGAGGGTTACCATTGACCAGAAACTCAACTGAACTCGCCACATAAACAGTGGCTATAGGAGCAGATCAGAAAGTAGGAATACTGTGCTGAGTAACTCACCTCCTGACTCCCAAAGCCTGTCCACCATATAGAAGGCACAAGTCAGGACTGTGATTGAATACTCCCCACTTGTCTAGATGGGTGCAGCTCAACAACACTGTGGAAGTTTGACACCATCCTGGACAAAGCAATCCACTAGATTGACACCACATCTACAAGCATCCACTCCCTCCATTACCTATGCTCAATGGCAGCAGTGTGTACTATCTGCAAGATAAAATATAGAAATTCAACAAAGATCCTCAGATAGCACCTTCCAGATGCTTGACTACTTGCATCTAGAAGGAAAAGGGCTGCAAATACATGGAAACACCACCACCTATGAGTTCTCCTCCAAGTCACTCACCATGCTGACTTGGAAATATATTGCCATTTCTTCAATGTGACTGGATCTAAATCCTGGAATTCCCTCCCTTAGTGTATTGTGGGTCAACCCACACATGTGAGAGCTTCAGATGGAGCAAGGAAAACATTGCACAGCTCTCATCTTTTAGAAACATAGAAAAGAGGAGCAGGAGTAGGTCGTTTAGCTCCACCATTCATTATGATCATGGCTGATCATCTGATTCAATAGCCTATTCCTGTTTCATCACCCATCTCCTTTGTTCCTTAGCACCTGTGCTTTTTCCAACTCCTGTTGGAATCATACAATGTTTTGGCATCAGCCGCTTTCTGTGGTAGCGAATTCCACAGGCTCCCCACTCTCTGAGTGAAGATACTTCTGCTCATCTGTACGAATAATGGATAAACCATTTAGATTGTGATTCCCTAGTTCTGGGCTCCCTAGCCCTTGGGGACAATCTTTTGGATGTCCTTTGGTTGCAGATGGCACACCGTTTCAATTGAGGACATCAGGGTATTAATATTGCAAGCCATCATTTCTTGAGCCTATGAGAGGAGTGAGAAAATAAGCAAAACACAGACCAGATTTCAGGGGAAAGCCTCAGTCCATGTGATATTATCCCTGGTGTATAAAGGTTGAATGTGTGACTGTTCACATTGGGTGAACTTATATGCTAGCTTTTTCTGATTCATGCAAGCAAGGGGAGGCACACCACACTCCATTGGACTACAGCAGAAGGGATTAGGTAAGAACTAGTAAGTCTACTGAAAGAATTTTTTGACCAAGTGTCAAGCAGTATAGATAAGAGGGAGCAAGAAGATGCAATGTATTTGGACTTCCAAACGGTGTTCGATAAGGTTCTGCACATAATGGTACTTCATAAGTGTTCGGTGTCATATTTTAGTGTAGTTGCTTGACTGATTAATAGAAGGTGGGGAGTTGGGAAAAGAGAGAGAGTCATTTTCAGGCCATCAAGCTGTAACTTCTGGAGTGCGACAGGAATTGGTGCTGGAGTCACAAGTATTGACAATATAAACAAACAACTCAGATGAGGAGGTGAATGTGAATGTATTGTCAAGTTTGCAGAAGAGACAAGTTGTGAGGATGACGTAGAGGAAAATAAATATAGTAAGTGAGTGGGTAAAAACTTGGTAGTTGGTGTATAATGGTGGGAAAATATGAGGTTATGCACTATAGCAGGTCCGCAAATTGCACTGTTTGCAAGTTTACCCTCAATTTATTTTTTCCCTCTTTATTTTTTTCTGGCCATTTCTTGGAGTCCCTGTTCTTTTTAATTAACAGTCAGCCTTTTGATTTTTCCTACCAAAGGGCACGTCCTCACATTTTCCTGTATTAAACTCCTTCTATCAAGTGTTTGTCCACTCTATCTATATCTATATCCTCTTGCAGATTCCTTATGTCCTCATCACAACATGCTCTCACACCTATTTTTGTATTATCATCAAACTTGGATACATTACACTCTGCCCCCTTTCTCCATGTTGTTAACATTCATAGTAAATCATTGAGACCCTATGACTGAACCAGTGACATTCCACTAGTTCTGCCTTTTCAACCTGAAAGAAACCCATTAATACTGATTCTCTGTCTTCTGTGTTAACCAATCCTCAATCCATGCTAATACACTACCCACGATGCTGTGAGCTCCTGTTTTACATGATAGTCTTTTATGTGTCACCTTATCGAATGCTTCGGGAAATCCAAATGCATTACATCTACTGGTTCCCTTTTATCAAGTCTGCTTGTTATATCCCCAAAGAGCTTTAGCAAATTTGTCAAACATGATTTCCCTTTCATAGAGCTATTATTTGAATAGTGATTTTTTGTTTTACAGTGGGACTTCTGTTTAATCTGACATTTCACATCCAACATTAATTTCCACTTTCCTGGATGCATGCAGATCCGCACTTAAGAACATCAGCACTGTACAGGAGAGAGAACCTTGTTTGTTTGACATCTGTCTTCCCCCTACCCACTGTGCACAGTGGCAGCAGTGTGTGCCAACTACAAAAACACAAAATTAACTCACCAACATTGCTTTGACATCACCTTTCAAACCTGAAATATCTATTACCTAAGAAGACCGAAGCAGCAGATGCATGGGAATGCAAGATTCCCCCTCTAAGTCACATAATGTCCTGATTTAACACAGTGTTAGCACTGTTTCACTGCTGCTAGGTCAAAAGCCTGAACATCCCTCCCATATAAGACTGTGAGTGGACTTGCATTCAAGTTCATCTGTTCAAAAGCAGTTCACCTTCACTGTGTCCTGTGTAATTATAGATAGATGTTGGCCTGGCCAGTGATACCCACATCCTAAGAACAAATAAAACAAAGCCCAGCATTCCCCCACCCCCACCTAGAACAGCATTGAAGTATCAGCCTTATTATTTGTACAAACCTTTAGCCCTTGAAGCAATGAAATTCTGGTTATGGAGTGAGACTGCTATCACTGAGCAAGGCTAATGTTAAGGCAGATGAAATGAAAATGTTTGAATGCATCAAGTCTCTGAGTGCCTCATCCAATCCTGGAACTAGTGAGCAGGGTGGGAATCAGGACATTGTGTTAATGCCACATTCTTGGCTAAACA